TGTACGTCTTAAAATGCTTAGTTTCGGAGATACAGGGTGTAGGGTTTTATTTTTATTTCGATTTTTTTCGAATAATTTCTGAAGTATAGTCAATATTGGGGTGAGAATTGGTATCTGGGAGTTTTTTGACATGAGAAATTTGATTTTGATGTCAATATGACTCGTATTTGTAGGGGGCGCCAGCTACATGTGTTTTAATTGTTTTGAAGAGTAATAACTTTTCGTCCGTACCTGTATAAAACTACTAACTAAACCTACTAAAATTGTTCTTCTAGCTTGTATTATTCGATTTTTAATCTCTTTGTCATCTTAACCTGTTGCATCAAATATTACTCCTAGGTAGTACCGTAGGATCGAAAAAAAACGGCGTCCAGTTGGCTTGGAAATGACGATCGATGACATTTCCCATATAATTTTACATATAAAATGACAGCAATCTTCATTTCATAGCCATCGCTGACGCCGTTTTTATTCGATCATACGGTATTATAGCCATTGCAAGTTTTTATTTCTTTATTTTCTAGATGTACGCTAGATAATTCTGCACCAATAGGTATTTAGATATTTAGTTTTTAGTATTGTTGCGGACCGGTGTGGACTCGACCTAACCTAACTATATAGCCCGCCCTCGGATGACCTTAACATCGCATTAAAGAATAGACAGCGTAATGATTCATTCGAAGATTCGAAAAGAAACGAGTTCCACTGGAATGGAGTAGTACATACGAGAACAATCGAAACCTTCTCTATGCACCTAACGATCTATGGACTATTCTAGAGTTCTTTTAGCTGTAGGTATAAAAGCCGGCGGCTGTGGCCTAGAGAGGGCAGTTATAAATATATGAGTGCAGTTGACGCACTAAAATTCAAAATAAATACTTAGTTATAAATCGTTTGTAAATAGTTCTATAAATCTTTTTTCGTTATTGTTTTTGTTAATTAGTGTTAAATAAATAGTGTTTAAATAAATTGTGACTTTCTATCCACACGGAACCGACGAAAAACGTAACAGTATCTTTATTTCCAATAAGTAAGATTTTAATAATTAATGTTAAACATTTCTTATAGCATCTTGAAATGAACAGACAAAAAGTTTTTCTAACAAGTTAAAATTTTCATTAAACAGAAGTTACAATAATCAACCAAATTAAAATTAGTTTCAATTAGCTGTAATATTCAAATTACCAGTCTTCCATCGTATTTCATTTTATTGCTCAAATCCCTTTTCCCGATATTTAATCACTTTAATCAACTTTTGCCAATTATTTTAATGGTTTATTGAAAGGAAGGAATAATCAAATTTTCAATTTTTTCCCTTCTCTTTATTTATTAGATCTTTTCGAAAAATTACTTTTAAAACTTCACGAACGTTTATACATCTATTATGCATCAAATTTTGTTTAATCTTTAACCTTTAAATATTTATTTTTCCCTTTTTTCGCAGAGTTAATGAGTTAAAAAAACCTCCGGTAAAATATAAAACTCGGAAAATTTGCTGTACCTCCGAGAAAATCTTTTTAATAAACATTTTTACAGAAAAATTATGTTTTTAAAATAAAGCCGGAGACTTTTTAGTTTAAAACCTAAACTTGGCCGTTGTAATTGGGTAGTTTTTGTTAATTAATTCACTATAATATAATGAGGTATTCACAAGAAGAATATAAAAGGATTTTTTTGCAATTTTAAGGGGTTGACATTGTATAAATTACTATATATATTTTTTTTAAATTATAAACAATAACTATTATTTGTCAAAGTATAAATAAATAAGTATATGCAAGAACCAAGCATCTCTTAATGATGAACTAAATAATAATAAAACGGATTTACTTCAGAATAGTAACTCTGATAAATACCTGGATAAGATTATATCGAACTTCTAGAGATATTTATTGGAGTCAGCTTGAGGAAAAGGCTTTCTCTTTCTCTTTCTCTTTCTCTTTTTCTTTCTCTTTCTCTTTCTCTTTCTCTTTCTCTTTCTCTTTCTCTTTCTCTTTCTCTTTCTCTTTCTCTTTCTCTTTCTCTTTCTCTTTCTCTTTCTCTTTCTCTTTCTCTTTCTCTTTCTCTTTCTCTTTCTCTTTCTCTTTCTCTTTCTCTTTCTCTTTCTCTTTCTCTTTCTCTTTCTCTTTAAAAAAATAAAATTCTTATATTTCTTTATATCATGGAACGCAATAGCGCAAATAACACAATAATAATAATTATTTACACTGCAGAAACCAGAAGTAAGAAAACACTGTAAAAGAATAGAATTTGTATCAAAATGTATTAAAAATATAAGTACCTAGTATAACAACATACTAAAATGGTAAACACTAGTATATCGCCACAATTTGGTGGACCTCGTTTAGTCATTTTTTTCTCCTCTTTTCCCTCCAAGCAGTTGGTTTATTAGAATACTCATTCATCGAGCAATCTGTTGGACTTTGTTGTATTTTATTTCCAGATTAACAATCTCACCCTTAAATTTTATATGAAACTGATTATTGAATATTAAACATATCTGTATACTGATCCATCAATAACTTACCGAATATCAGTATAAGAAGTTCTTTGAAGTGTTTAAATCTTTCTTTCTCTGGTCCATTTAGATTTTTATTATTTCCAAATTAAAAAAAAATATATTGCAGAGCTCACTCAGCTAACCTCTTTATCATTTTGCGAGAATATTTGGAGTTTTCATTCATTGGAGTCAAAATTTGGTAAATTGGGTAACGAGTAAGGGAAGAGTCGCTGCTATAATATTAATAATACTCTTAGGAAGGCGTAACAAGGTAATTAAAAACTTGTACTTACCTTAAAATCTCTTTTAAACTACACACAAACAGAACATTTATATAGAGCTTCCGAATGATAAAACAATAATGGCTGCTAACACATACCACTCCTAGAAAGGAGAAAGGAAAGAGGACACATAAGATACACTTGGTCGGTGTATCTACGTTGAGGCTATCCGCGCATGCGCACACCTTCATTTCATGCTAGAATGTAGACACAACAGTACACTATTACAAAGTGTCTATATAGATATTTATATTATGTGTATACGTCACATTTTTACAAGGTGTGTACTATAGGCACAACTATGAACGAAGTATCACACATACATATGACTTATACATTGTATGTCTCATATACCGACGTCAGATTTCATAATTTTAATAATTATTTGTTACGTTACAAAAAACTCTTTAGAATCTTGAGTGCATATGGTATACAACTAGTAAACACTGTATCACACAATTCTATCAATATAAACCTGCGTGTATCTCATATGTATATGTTAGAACTAGATGAACACTTAGGTTCACTTTAACATAATGTTGTTTCACATGTGTCTCCCTTGTAGAAACGTAATTTCATTTGGACGTGCTATATGGGAACTTTATAAAACATTAATACTTTTTATTACCATAATTGACTGAAACTCCAGGAAGTATAAAAATATACGTCCATTCTTCACCATTTAATAATAGATTGACGAAACAATGATCCAAATACGCAATTTTCACGTGTTCCATTATAAAAATATATTAGCACGCTGAATTATGGCCGAGTTTGTGGCACGCAAATGTAATTTACTTGTTTATTTCCTTAGCGTACAAGCCGAGATTAGCTAATTTTCTTAATTAAAAATCTCTTTAAGAGTTAAATATATAACTAATTATGGCTTAAATATAGGTTAACTCGACAAATTTGAACTTACAGACTAGAAGATAAGTGAAAAAATATGACTGGGTAAAACTTGAAATGTATACTATTTTAATTAATAATGTCGATGTTTTTAACACAATGTTATTTTTAGGTTAACATAATTTTTAAGCATAGATTAACTAGAGTGTTCTCAAATTGTTATTTTTAGATTTTTTAAATAGTTTTTTTAAACATTTTTAAGGTTCAGTACCTTAAAAGGAAAAAAAGGTTTACTTATAGGATCACTTTGTTAGCCGTCAATGTGCAGATTCTGCCAAACGAAGATACAACAGAATACATTATATTATACCGTGCTGGCAACTGTTATTCTTGGGTCTATAATTTAAAAACTCAACTTTTTAACACATAACACGCCATAACTTAAGAACCAGTTTAGATATTGAAACTTTTTTTTATTTTGAAGATCAGATCTTTTACAATATGCTTAAATAAGAAAAATTCGATGTTGTTTTTTACCATTCAAAAATTTTAAACAACCCATCCATTTACTTTTAGTACATAGCAATTTTCAGCAATCGTGTAACTTTTTTATTTATAAAGATTTTCACATACTGTCTGCGAAGAAAATATAGCAGAAATGTTAAGAAAGTTTTTGAAGAAACTACAATCAATTATTTTTAATAGATTTTGAAATATCGATTTATTTTGAATTCAGAGTTCTAATAGCATGACCACTGTCGAACACCAACTCAATTCCACTTATTTTTTACCAAAAATGCAAGTGTTTCTAACTTGCACTTAAAAATGTTCATGCTGTAGGTAAAATTACAACGACTCGTTAATAAATAAACAAATAAAGTATCGCGAGACGCAATTAAATCGTGAAGCTTAACGCATGATGTACACCTTTCCCTAGAACTTTAAGTACTGACAGAGGTACTGATTGGGTCGACCGGTGGACTGCGACAGATCTGCTTATCCCCTTCCACGTCTCTTAGCAATATGCGCAGTTTCTCGGTTTAGTTCGTACGTTTGGCAACGTGTTTACTGTTCTCTCTTTGTTCATTACATTATAAACGCATTGTACTCTTTTTACATACGGAAATCTCGACCCAAGACTAACCTTTGCCAGTCGTACACCAGTCGTATCCTTTTCAATTATAAAAAGGGTACCACTGGAGAAGAAAAATTAGAGACAGGAAGAGAGCAACAATAGATCTACAAAGGGTTGCAGCGAAATAGCCCAATATCGGCCTTAAAAAGATAATTGGAGAAGCGATTAGGTAAGTTCTATTTAAATTAAGGTTCTGTATGTTGTTCTGATTAAGTACATAATTGATACTACTCACCGTTTTGTAAAACATGCATGCTTGTCTGTCTTCGTCCTCCGCTGACGGACAATCAATGAAACCGTCGCAGAGCACGTGGTCATCTATGCAGTGATAGCGGCCTTGTCTGTCTGGCGTGGGACAAGCGAACCTTTCCATACCATCGGCCGCTGGGGGACATTCTAAAACAAACAATGAGCTTTGTATTCTAAACAATTACTCAATCAAATCTCTACTCATAAACGATAAAACAAACGAAAATGGGAAACCTTGTATATATGAGATTTAGCTTTATATAATTCCCCTAAATTAAAATAAATTATTGTCTTCTGCCCTTTGTCAAGAACTCACTTTCAAGTGTATATGTAACGAGAATGATAAGTACCTTATGTTTGTAATCCTGAGTACAAAGCGGAATAAAGGAGCTTATAAATGAAATCCAATGTTTTAACTAATATTCCAACTAATTAATTAATATTTAACTAATTATATTTGGGATGCATGGTTAACGAAACGTGGGATCCAGATCAGGAGATCAAATGCAGGATCGAACAAGCAAGATCTACTTTTCTGAGACTGCGAAGATTTCTCACAGATAGGAATTTGAACTTCGGCCTTAGATACAGAATGGTGAAATGCTATATCTGGTCCGTTTTGTTATATGGTGTGGAAGCATGGACACTGAAGGTAGCAACAATATACCGAATTGAAGCCTTCGAAATGTGGACCCTACGACGAATGCTAAGAGTGCCCTGGGTCGACTGTGTGAGGAATGAAGACATTCTCAGAGGAGCTGGTCTGGAACAACGTGAACTCTTCGAAATCATCAAGAAGAGGAAAATAGCCTATTTGGGACATATACCACGTGGAGAACGCTATCACTTTCAGCGTCTGATTCTCCAGGGTAAAATAGAGGGGGGCAAAAGAGGAATAGGTCAATGGAAGCTATCCTGGCTGAGAAATATTCGTCATTGGACAGGCATAGAGGACTTCCAAGCACTCCAAGTTGCTGCAGTTAACAGAACCATCTGGTGAGGAAAAAAAAGATGCCTACGCAGGAATCTGCACGGCACCTTAAGAAGAAGAACTAATATTCCAACATTTATGGATTCACACACACCATGGCATATTGGCACTTTTTGAAACTAGTAGTAGTTTAAATAGGTCAATCCAACTTCTGATGTCAGAATGTAGTACGTATTTTCCCAATAAAATACTAACTAATAACTATATCGAGTGTAGTGTTTATCCCAACCTATCATTCTCTTTACATAATATTTAAAGTCCATTATCTGAATTATATAGATCTAAATCTTACATACACATTAATTATAATATTGCCATTCGATAAAAATTTTAGTAGTATCCTGAATAAGACACTCTGATTTAATTTAATAAGTTAACTGTATTGTTACATAATAAAGTGGTGCCTATTCCGAGATAACGTCCAACTTCCGATTCTATTTTCGATCTGTAGCAGACCGAAAACGTACACAAATATCGATAAAGGCAAATAGTCTGCGCGAACCGCTTTGAAGTTAGCGGAGAAAGGCGTCTTCTGCCCTTTGCCAAGGGCCCCGACTCCTTTGAAGTATATATGTCGTTATGTTCTGAAGTTTGTATTTCCTGTTGGGAGATTGTCAAATTTTTCGATATTCTACAAGTCTTTCAAGCTGATATTTATATTATTGCCCTTGAAGTTCACACAGACATTTTTATTTGGAGGTTTTTTTCTTATTTGCTTCCGTGTTTTATACTTTTTTTTTTTCGAGATCTTGGAATTTTTGAGTTAGTTATTATAAGTCAATTATTTAACTGTCAAAGTTCTCATAATAACGCCATCTTTAATAAAGCATGTTGTTGCTATATCTCTTGATAATATCGATGATAATATTTATTATATTTATAAAAATGGGTCGTGTACAGATAACGTGTTCTGTTTAAAACAAGTTATAGAAAAAAGATCGGCAGGAAACTTTTACACACATGTAACATTTGTTGGTTAAGGAAAGCATACGACACTGTCCTAATATCCAGGCTATGGAGAGTACTGGAACAATTTACCATTAACCATACATTATAACAGCTCTTAAGAAACTATATAAGGACGCAAAAATCAAAAATAAAGGTAGGAATAGAGCTTACAAAAACGTTTATAGCCATCAAAGGCCTACGTCAAGGTTGTTGCATCTTCCCTACTCTCTTTAAAATATACGTTGCAGTCGTTTTAATAAATTGGAAAAGAGATCCGTGGTTCTGTTCGCAGACGATCAAATAACGATAAAAATATGCTAAGAAAATTTATTGAAGAATACGGAGAATGGGGCTAGACAGTTAACATAGACAAAACATAATATCAATGTATAGGCGCACAAGAAGGAAATTTAAACTTGGACAACGGCCAAAGAATTATTCAGTGTCAAGAGTATGAATACCTGGGAATTACATTTCATAACACTAGAACTGATGGCAGAGAAATAGAGAAAAGGATTATCAACGCGAAAAAAATAATCGGATGTCTAAATAGAATTCTATGAAGCAAATCAATAACAAAGCGAAGAAAATTCAAGAACATGATGATAAAGAGCAGCCTCCTATATAGAGCAGAAAGATGGAGAATCACTGAAAAATACAAGAAAAAGATAGAGGCTGTAGAAATGGATGCTATTCGAAGATCAATGGGAATTTCCAGGCAACAACAAATAAGAAATAATATAAAACAACAAATGGGTATAGATGGCACAATAACACAAGAGAAAAAGCAGCTGATCTGGTATGAACATTTAGAGCGAATGAAGAATAGAAGATGGCCCAAGAAAATAATCAATTGGCAACCAAAGGGCAGAAAAAAAGGAAAACACGGGGCACACAAAGCGATGAGTGAAAGAGGATGTCAACAGAGGATTGTACAAATATAACAGGCTGGAAATTGGGTATCGGACAACGTAGAAAAACGTTTTAAACCGACTAATATATAATCAAATTGTTAACATCTAAGCTACGCAGTATATAGCTATAACTCAGTAACTGTCCAAACCAAACCAAATCAATTTAATAGAAAAGTTATTGACAAAACTATCGCCCACCATTGTTCTATTTTAATTTGCTCCATTTTTTGCGTCTTCTCCGCACTAAAGTGATACGTTCTCCTTTTTAATTTGGTACGTAAACATATAAACACACACACACACAAACACACGCAAAGAGACGAGCCACCTTTTGACGTCAAAACTTCGTGACCAATCCAATTTGGCCTCGGCCTAAGATTAAAAGTAAATATTTAAAAGGCGACCAGGAGCTGTCGCTGGCTCGAATCGGACGTATGCTTTTTTCTCCCTCTGAGGATGTTAAATTAATTTGCCAATTTACGTTGACCGCAAATGGCTTTTAAAAGCTGTGCGGCCAATTAGGCATAACCTCTCGAGATACGATTCACATTTTGCCTTTTTTTATGTACGCTGATCGATTTATAAAGGCAGTTATCCATATTTCTCGCATACAGTTTTGACTCAGTGGCGTGCATAGAGAACTTTTTTACATATCATTACGCCATAATTGATTGAGATTTGGTATGTTAGTATATGTAGTAGTATATGACATAAATTAAGATTGATTGGTGTATTCAATTGTTTTTGGTCACTTTCTGTTTCACCGGAAATGACTACAACTTTTGATTTTTAAATGGCACGTTCGGTATTTTTTTACTTTATTTGATAGAAAGGCGTTCTGAGTAGAATGACATATCATATGTCAACTTTTGACATTGTCGCTTAATAAAATATTGTATTTTAAAATTCAATCTAGAGTGCCATGGCTATGTTAAAACACTAATTCTTCATCAAGGAGCCTTGGAAAAATAGATTTGATCGTGTAATGTTTAGTGTCTTGTCCTGGCCAGTTAGAACATGCTCAAATCGTATTTTTATTCATATCTCAATTTTTTCAAATAGAATGAGAGTGGCTCATTAGCATATTTGGAAAAAGCATTTTTTTACGAATAATTTGATACCACTCACTTGGTATTTCGAGTGAAATTTTCGTTACGAACCGCAAATTATAATTTCAAATAAACCATATGCGAAAATGTCAAAAGTTGACATAGGATATGTCATTCTATTCAGAGTGACATTTTCTTAAAAACTTTAAAAATTGTAGTTGTAATAACAGTTGTAGTCATTTCCGGTGAAACCGGAAGTGACCGAAAACAATTGAATACGTCAATCAATCCTAATTTATGCCAAACCAAGAAATAAATAAATGTGGTAACTTGATTTTTTTTTACAGCAGAGCTACCACCTGAATCCCCAGCGGGAAATTTAAATTCCAGTTAGTCAGCCCGGCGCCGAATATGTCTATGGTTGGCACCAATGAATTTAAAAATGGCGCCTTCGATTACATTACTAAAAGTTTCACTGGTATCGCTTACATAATATATTTTACATAAGAAAAATAATAAAAATATACATACTGTAATTTATAAAAAAAATTGAATTTATATATTAATCTAAGTTAACCAGTTAAAATTTTCTAATTTTATTATTTCTTTAAGGTTGTTTGATTAACATCAAACCACCTCTTAATGAAAGGGGAAAATACCACAAAGGAAATTTCTTCAAAAGTTATTTTTAATTTTCGGAAAGTTTTAATAACTTTTCTTGCTTAATAATCGCGTTCTGGATTCTTTTTTAATTTTCAAACAAAATACTAAGCGAAAAAATAAATTAGAAAATGAACAGCGTCAATTACGGATATGAAAAAAAGTTGCGTTAGTGTTTTTAGACATTTAATTATAAAGTACTGTCTGGTCATTTACACCCAGATTAATGTATTTTGGTGAAAAAAGGTCAGCTAGATAATAATATTATAGTCTGTATATTATACAGTGCGCTTAGATCGTTAAATTAAATGACTAATGGAAGAGAAACTAATACTATTTTATTAAGCTTGATTTTCATGCGTCTGTTATCCATTGATACCTTTGAATAAGAATACTAAGGAAGGAGCATAATGCTATCCATGTATTCATGCATGGTGGGAGGAAAAAGGACTCTAAAGTAAGGATCCTTGACAGTTCTGTTTGACGATTTATTTGACACATTTGAATTTAATTTGAAATTTTGTGGATTTGTCAGTCTTTACGGAGCTTATTTTATGTTATTTATTATTTATTCTACTACTGATA